GGAAGATGGTTTTACAAATCAAGGGAGGGTTTTTAGGACATTGCCCTTTCCATACAAGCTGTCTCTTTCATTGCAACCGTAATTTGGTGCGGTGCAGGGGAGTCTCCTCAGGGCAAGCATCGCATACTCTGCAGTGACTCACAAAGCCTAGCAGAGCTTTGCATGGAAGTTTCGCCTACCCACCAACTTTCACTGCTGCTCTGTAGAACCAGATAGAAAGGGAGACGACAAACAGAAACAAAGCCAGTTGTGCCAGCGTTTTCCACAGAGAAATGCCTGAGGTAATCAAACAGCACAAAGAGGGAAAGGAAAATAAATTTTACAAGCTCAACTTCAATAAAATGGAAGATTGATAGTAACAAAGGCAATTTTTTTTTCTAAAGCTAGGCTTTTTTCTTAGAGGCAATGCAGTTTTATTTTATAATTCTCAGTCCGAACCTAGAACCAGTGTGTTGTGCTATTCGATCAATGGATATACTCACATGAGTAAAGTTACTCATTTCTTCAAATCACAACATCTCTGGGCATCTCTCCTGTGTTTTTTACGTTTTAATTTACAAACCAATGTGTTTGTAGGACTGAGGCCCTACTCTACAAAAAAGTGCCACACAAAATATTTTAAAAATACGGTATGGTAATTTACTGAATCATGTCTGAGAATTAGTTGTGTTCTTTTCAGAAACCTTAGCCCAGCAGCCCCTCCTTTCTGCTCAACGACCCTGATCTTATCACTATAAACAGCAACATGGACATTCCTTCTATTTCTAAGTTAAACCTCTAACACTGCTTTGTGGTCACAACTGTTCATTTGAACCTCCAGGTTCTTCTATTATTTAAAGTGACAATACACACTTACAGTAAGAATCCTCGGGGTCTGAGCCTGCCCTCACAGGCTCTTCTAAAGTGACTGAACCATGTTTTCTTTGGGCAGACACTTCAGCTGTAACTAAATATTCTGAGCCATTGGTTCATATCACAATCCTCACCTGTGTTCAGATTCTGCTGACCACTATGTTGAAAAAACAAGCAAACCAAAATATTATGGTGAAAACCAACTCTTCAGAGGGAATAGAGAAACCTGTAGTACTTGATCAAATTACATGTCACACCTGGTGTAACACTTTAAGTAGAAGAATTAGTTTCTATCTACTCAGATGGACAGACCAAAAAACTATTGAGACAAGACACCGTATTGTGATTATCTCTATTTGTACTGAACCCACACATGAGGTAGGCACCTCACAAAAACAATTAGATCAAGGTCCCTGCCAAGGTGTAATTTTAATATCTGAATTTGAGTACTACTTCCTGTAAGCAAGAGAGGTAGTGAAACATCAGAAATTTAGATCCATAATGTTCAAACAAGCCAGGGAAGTGCCAAATAGCTACGTCAGTGGTTTTCAATCTATGATCCAGACAACCCTAGGGGTCCACAGACAATGTCTAGGATTGCCAAAAGGGTCTGCATCTCCATTTGAGATTTTTTAGAGATCCACAAATGAAAAAAGGTTAAAAACCACTGAGCTATGGTCATTGTCATTCTTTTACTTCAAGAGACAACAACGATGCCTTTTAACAGAAACACTTTGCTACAGATTTCATCCTCAGGCCTAAGACATAGCAGTATAAATGCGGTCCCAAGCAAACCTGCTAAGAAGTTACATTCTAAACTTAAGAAATAAGCGATACTGTCAAAAAAAAGTGAGGTTTTTGGTTTTTAAAATCCCCTTACCTGCATTTAGCAACACTAGCAGCAGACTGTTAAAGATGAAGGAATTAAAAACTAACTTTGTCCTTACTCATCTTAAGCATGAACCTGTCACCACTGTGATTCCAGGTTCGTTCTGAGGGTACAAACATGTCTTCACAGTCTGAAATATGCTTCCAAACTCCAAACACTTGTCTTGCTTTTAAGCATATCTGCAGAATGAAAATGCACATTTGGCACAAAGATGAAAACAAATAAGAACCCCAGCACGCTAAAAGCATTCCCACCATCTTACTAGCTGAACCCAAGACAGCATTCAGGACCGAAACTCCATGGTGTTCCACTGCTGCAAGTACGAAACAGCAGTAACAGAGCAGAAAATGCAGTTACTGCACATTCACAAGGGCAGAGAAGAGCAGAATCTTTGACCCCAGGACTTTTATACTCTGCGTCCAATAATCTGGGTGGAAACAGAAGCCTAATGGGATTATCACTTTGATCCCAGGTTTAAGTGACTAATATTTAGATTTAAGCCACACTAGTGTCAGTTTTCAGAAAAAAGCAAAATGGGGGGGGGGGGGAGAGAGAAGAGGACGGGGGAACATAACAAACCTGTTCTCCAAAGCATTTCCACTCAGAACAAAAGCCAGCAGGTCTACTAAACTCCTTAGCACCTTTTCGGTAGAATTCTGCCACAAGCTGATCACAACTGGCCTGAGTTTTAAATAAACACACTATTTTTAAAGATTGGCATTGTAATAGTGCACACATGAGTGCTACTGCAACATATCACTCCGGTTTATTGCTACGGATAGTACTCCTGGGGAGAGTACCAACCTGAGGACCAATAAATGCAAATCAGATCCCACATGGAGTTCCAAGTAGCTCGGCTCCTATGTGTTTTATGACATCATAGGATCATAGAATACCAGGGTTGGAAGGGAACTCAGGAGGTCATCTAGTCCAACCCCCTGCTCAAAGCAGGTCCAATCCCCAGACAGATATTTGTCCCAGATCTCTAAATGGCCCCCTCAAGGATTGAACTCACAACCCTGGGTTTAGCAGGCCAATGCTCAAACCACTGAGCTATCCCTCCCCCCATCACACCAGAACCCTCACTAAGCTATCTTGCTTGACCTTCACTGACCTCACTCACCTATTTCACATAAAAGATATCTAAACTGTGCAGCTATCCAACAGTACCAGCAGTGACTTTAGCCATGTTGCCCTAACCTAGGGGCTTATCCTTTGCCCAGCGCCCACTTTAAGCATGGGAAAGATGGAGGAAGAGGTTCGTTCTGAGTATAAATGCTCTTTACATTATTGCACTGAAGGCTGCCCCAGTCTAGAGCAAGTGCAGAGCTGCTTAGAGGCTGTTTCATCCACAATGGCTCAGATAGCCCTGCCCACCTCGGACTTGGCTCCACCATGAGACAAGGAAGCCAAAGACTTAAAGAGCTGTACTTCTGATCCCTCCCTTCCCTGGGCCTGCCTTCAGTGCAATAATGTAAAGAGCCCCTTGTCATCCAGCTCTGGCCTTTGAACAGCACAATCCTATCCGGAGATGCATAAACTGGGGCTGGATTTGCCTACAAATAAAAGGAATAGCAGACTAAATACCTTAATTCTTCATGCAGAAGTTTGCACACACCCTGGTATAAGCACACACCTTGTGACACCATGCATGCACAGGGGACAGCCAAATGATAGTTTGCAGAATCACATGGAAGACGGTATTCAGCAGGCACCTTTCACAAGGGCACCATCCTCCCTCCTCCCCCATACCACTTTAAACATTCTAGACCGTGAAAAATAAAAATAAAGGGGGGGAATGGCCACAGAAGCATGTATTCTCTTCCCCTCCTTAATCGCGGAACTTCGCCCGGAGAGCGACATTGGCCCAAGGTTAGGGATCCATTCTCTTACCCTAACTAGGCTTTAGCCATCAGATCACGCTACCTCTCTGCAAAAGAAGATAAATTAGAAGTTAGCTGGTAACCTTCATGTTACATTTACGCACGCGCAACCAAATTTTCATAGGAACTCATCCATACTGCACATAAGTACACATTGTGTCTCCATATATAAAATAAATGGGACCACCCGGTTCTATATGTAGACGTTACTGTTTCTTGTGCACTTCCTGATCGGTGTATAAATGCATAAAGCGAACACTGCAATAGCTTACTCTTTTAAAGAGCCTGGGGAAGGAGCAGGATGCAAAAATAAGTCCTAGTTGGTTGCACAGTGCAAATGCACACTTGGGTGTTAAAAATCCGCCGCCCTAAAATACCCTGTACCTAAGTATAGTTTTGCACAAATCTGCAATTTTTGCACGTTACCATAGTGCTGCACTTCGGAAACAGACCCACTGCACACAGAACATCTCTTTAAAAAGATCACAACCTTGCAATTTCATACAGCAACTGTTCCTTACCGAGCTCTAGTCACTTGTGAAGTCAGAGGTTTAGATTGCAGTGATTGAGTTCTGTGCACAAAGAAAGTTTGCTTTCATAAAATGGAAAACGCTTTTGTGCAAAGATCAACAAAAACAACATTAAAAAAAGTCTCCTTGAGACAGAGCAAACATGGGATAGTTCAGCTGAAAAGGAAAAGTTTGGAGATAGTTAAGGGAGTGAATCCAGAGTCTGTATGGAAATGTGATTCTTCCCAGGATATCCCTCCCCCCATAAAGACATTATATATAAATAAACACACACACACGGAAGAATAAAAACTCACTCCCCAAGCACCTAAAAAACAAAGTTTCCTTTTTCTCCTCCTTTTCTTCTGCTTTGATGGCAGTATGCTCACTTCGCGACCAGGATCAAGGTTTAACTCGCCATCTAGGCCAATTGCAGGATTGGTCAGTAAGTAACAAGTGCTTTTATCCTGGATCATATGTGTATTCTCATCCGTAATGACAGACAAGACCATGTCTTGGATATTCTGGCTTTTCTCTGCCTTTACAGAGTGGTTAGATTCAGGCGTTTCAGCCGTTCCACAGCTCCCCAAGTTAGAAGCATTAGTTGTGTGTTTTAACTGGACACCCGGATCTGCTAACGATGGTTCCAAATTGGAGGCTTTTCCCCTCTTAGAGAGGTCTCCGTTTTGCTGCCAATCAACAATAGGCATTCTGTGGGCTGCAGCTCTTGTGTCGGCTGGTACCACAGGCTCTTCCTGGTTGCACGATTCAGAGTCTCGGCCATTGGCCTCAAGTGTCCCGCAATCCTGGCACGCCTCAAGTGACTGAGAATGATTTAACTGTGTAGCTGATCCTTTCTCAAGGTCACCAGGAAGGACAGCCAGAGCAGAAGTTGCCTCTGCCTGCTTTATTAAGCCAGCAACAGCAACGCTGAGTTTCGAGCAGCTGTTTTCGCAGGCCTTCGTCGTTTCTTCACTGCCCTTCTCCGTGGGTAAGCCTTGAACGTGTTCTGGCCATTTTTGCAGACTTTCATTCGATGCATTGCTGAGTATAATGTCCGGATACAGTGGCACGCACTTGCAAGCTTCCGAGACATCTAACTTCATTTGAACAGGGAGGGAGACATCAGGAAACGCAGTGCAACTAGTGGGAGATTTGGGTAAGAGAGGGGCCCTCTCAGCCGAATTAAAGCTGTGTGTCTGGAAGATGAGATCAGTGACGTGTCTGCAGCAATTTGCAAAGATACTGTTTCCCATGATTACAGGTTACGCAGATAAAAGACCAAATGGGAGAAGTACGTTTTGTTTGCAATCTCTTGTTTGTACACATATATTAAAGTACACAACAAAGACAGGTCTCACATGGTCTACAGTTTGGACTTGTTAATGCCGTCACGTAGCTAGCTGATCAGATTTTCTAAGAACATTCTTATTTGAACCCCATGAGACAAAAAGAACAAGACTAATAATTTAGACTGCTAGCATGCAAAGAGACATACGTCAGGGAACAAAGAAAGTATTCTCTTAAACACTCATGTTTCTTCCCTTCTAATATCTTATGCAGATTTAAACCTTGGATTCACCATAGTGGGAGTTCTCCCAAAGTTCCTTCCAGTGACCTTCATCTTCCAAACATCTTTGCCTCGGTCTTCAAAATATCAAGTTGCAGAATGCCAGGATAGCCACAAAGTAAAATAGAAGTTCCCCAAAGTTGAAGACTTCCTCCTCTCCCCGCTGCCCCAGAGACGGGAGAAAAAAAATCAAAGTTCTTCCAAGTCTCTAAGAGAGAGTTGATCCGAGCCGGACTGTTAGAACCCAGCAGTGAGTTATAAATAGAGTGGTGATAGCAGGCTCTGTACCGATGCAGTATGGGACCATGTTACAGCATTTCAGCTCTGCCAATTTATAAACAAATAAGATGCATTGAATTACAAAACAAGGCTAGTTACTATGGCATGCCTAGGCTTATGCAGAGCCATCCATATTAAACAGACTGGCATAGAAAGAGACTGTGAGGAGTGAACTAGGTAGATAGAGTTGCCAAATGAGTTTTCAGGCCCCACAAAATGCCTCTATTTCAAACAAACTTAAGGAATCCCCAGTAACTTTGCAGGAGTTGTAGGTTATATAGATTTTCACCTTGTAACAAGGGCACTAAAAACCCTCATAGGCTACAATACAAATCAAAGCTGCCAGACATGAGTATTCAAAGGACCAAACTAAACCACAAAACCCAACCACCCTCCTTGCTCTCTTCCTATCCCATATATCAGTTCAAGATAAGCACCACTAATGTGTGGGCACATATGACCCAGTAAAGTGTCTAGTAGGCTCTTAATTATATTTGCTTCTGTAGTGTTACCGGACAGTTATTTTCCTTTGGAGACATATCCTCTAATGAAAGCTAAATTGGGAAAAAACTTTTCAAGGAAGACCATTACAAAGTCACATTCCAAGAAAGATACTCAGCCTGAAGAACCAGAAGATTTGACTCTGCAATGGCAAGTTTTATGCTCCTAGTCAAAGCATTTCCTTCAGTTTTGCTATAGCTTAAGTAATTTTAAATGTTTGTATCTAGTTTAATTGTAATTTACTCTTGTGAACTCTAAGATAGTCCATCTATACATAGGCCAACTCCAAATTTATGGAGGTAAAAAATAAGTCTGGTCTCTGCTGTGAACGTCTCAAGTGTAGGGTGAAGACAGACACCATGTCACAGACACATTTGTTAACAGTCAATCCCACACCCATATACATAACAGAAGAATCATTTCTCTTAAGAAAATTTTAGGAAGTTAGAGCCAATCATCATAGCAGAATTTTGTACGCCAGCTAATGCCCTGCCAAGAAGAAATGGAATTAATAGGTTGAAAAACAAAACAAAAACAAAACACATAGGCTGAAAGTTCTTTATACAAAATTAAATCCCCGATTAGCTTCTATTGTTCTTGCATTTTGCTTTTTTTTTAAAAAAAAGAGCAGAACAAATCTCTCTCCCACCGAAACGCATTCCAACTCCAGATCCAGTCAAGGCAGCTCAGATTTCCTTTTTTAGGACTTCTGTCTCATTGCCCCTTTTATAAGTAAGACGCATTAAGGGCCTAAGCAAACCCTTAGTCACGAGAAGCCCCATTATCTCAGGATCTAGTGCCAAGTTTGAAATGCTTAAAAATGTCCACATCTTCCAACTAATGTGTCTTTCAGAAGCATCAGGAAATGCCAGATAAACTGACAGGTTCAACTCTACCTCCTTATACATAGAAGCACAAGCTGTACATGCTCCAGACTTCAGTTTAAAAACCCTTTAAGTTCAGGTGGGTGTTTGTGTAAAAGACAATCTCCAAGAAGAGACCCTCCTGGTACAGACTCATTCTATTTTAAAATGGCTTTGCTAACTGCAACAAATTTAAACTTCATTCTAGTTACCAAAGCTGTAAATTCACCAACTTTATCATTTTACTTCTACACAATGTGTACGTGGCCCCTAACTGGAAATAAAGAGCCAGACAGAGACCCAATTGAAGCAGGTGCAACTAGCATAGGAGCTGGATCTATTTACTCCATGGGGGAATTTTGGCCAAACTGTTAGCTCAGATTGAACAAGTTATAGTTAAGGTATTCATACGCACACTAAAGGCAATGCTGGCTTAAGAACGAGCAGTAAAAGGATCCTATATAAAGTTCTTCTTATATCAAAAATTGTGATCAAATAATTAACACCAAACGGAGTTCCTACTAATGGTAGGTATACAAACAGCAAAATTAAGCTAGTTCAAATTGGACCTGAACTAGAGAGAATGTACTGCATTCAGCACCAGCTATAGTATTTTACATTCACTAGAAGAAAGTTAACCAGATACAGTGAAGGCATTGGGTAGGGTTTCACTTATAGTGAGTGATATTTATGTAGGAGGAAGCAAGTTTAATAGGGACCCCAAAAGCTTATGCCATCTTCAAAGGAGGATCGATTATTTCCTTAAGATTCCATCGAGAGAGGCAGGATGTCCTGGGAACCTCTCTCCATCCCATCATGGGGCACCTATAACCTGGAGGTTCCACTTTCCAAATTAATTTCCATCATCTCTTTTGATGCAACCAACACCTCTTCCTTAGCGAGTGCCCCTAAGCAAGTGTGTTGGAGTTGTCTCCTGGGATCTGTAAATCCATGTTTGTTTTAAACCATCTGTAGTTTTAATTAAGGGTTATAAGCATCATGTTTAGTCTCCAGAGGCTTCAGGACACACAGAGTTGTGTCATGTGAAGTTCCTTCACTCCCTGTAGTTTGTAGCTGACCAAAAGAGTTCATCAGCCCCACAGATAAAGCGATGCCCATTCCAGTTAAAACAGGAGGTAAACCTGAGATGGAAAGTGCTATACTGGAAGTCTCTTCTGTGGACACTACATATAACAACATGGATATTTAAATGGGGAAAACTCTTCACTCCTTTAAAGAGAGTAGAGTCACACCAGAATCTGATCGGTTAGGTCCAACCATGATCAAGACACAGTTAACAAGAGCAGTTCTAGTTCAGGTAGAAGTTTGCACCTTTTATGCTCTTTCGTGGATACCGGAAAAATAGTTTTGCTGTAGTTGCCCCTGCAGGCCACATTCATTTGTGCTGTGTCAGTCCTGCTGGTTCAGAGGCTCTTTCCTGCAGTAACTGAAATGCTTTCTAAGGTTTGGACTTAGCATCTTGAGTCCCTCTCCTACACTCGCCAAGTCTGGGAGTTACATTTCAACCAATTTCCAGCATGGTTTAGCTGGCCAAAACTTTTTTAAAAATGTGGTTCTACCATTGGCTGGCCAAAAGGCTTAGCTCCAATGGTAAACAGTTCAAACACTGCTCCCAAACTGTGTCGAAAGGCCAGAGCTTAAGGCAAAGTACAAAGTTCAAAAAAATATATATCAGCAACTATAGGAGACTGTGTCTTGACTTCCCAAATGGAGAGGAAAAACCCAAAACAAGACTGATGGGTACGGGCACCTGGAACCCAGAACAGGGATAATTTTAACACTAGTTTGGTTTTCTGGAGTTAAAGAGATCCTACAAAGGGAAATTTAGGTTAAGTATTAGTAACAGATAAGGAATTTTGTTTTAAGTGGACTGCTCCTTTAAAATTTTCCTTCAGAGAAGAAAGAGTAAGAGGGAGGGAGAAGACAGAAATACGGTAGCAAAGATTTCAAAATACGATAGCAAAAAATATAACTTTTCCTGGAAGCTGGAATGAAGTTTATTCCAATGAAGATAGTTCTGCCCCTCCCTAAGGGCAAAGAGTTTGTTACAGGGACTAAAGGTCTGTAATACCACTTACTAAGAGCCAAAGACAGGTTAACAAATTATTCTAGTTAAGAGCAGTTTAAAAAAAAAAAATGCAAAGCTCCTCCAATTGTAGTAGCTGACATATGGTCTATACAGTAAAGCTTGTTTAATTAAAGTGCTCATGTGCTTACGGAGATGAGAACAAGTGTTTTTACTATTATTTATGCAGTGCCTAAGCAAGTGCCTTGCAGCACAAATGAAGGACCTGTACCGTGCCCCAAGGAGCTTACAATCTAACCTCAGGCATGCCACAATGGGGCTGGGGGGAGAAAGTTGAGGCATTAAAAAAAAAAACAGGGAAGAGACGAGTTACAGTAATGACTGCTTACTTTATGTGCATAGCTGGATTTTTAATGTGGCCGAATAAAGACCCTCCCTACCTTCTCCCAAGGTCTTATTGCTTTTCCCTCTCCCTTCTTTTAGGCCTCGTAAAAAAGTGAGTCTTTAGGGCCTTGTCTACAACAGAGGATTTTAGCAAACAATTTCCACCCAGGGTATCACTAGTACCGGATGCAAAGGGGAGGGTTATTTTAGAAGATTCCCTCGTGTAGAGACTGCCTAAGGTCTCTCTGCAGGGAGACATGTCCACCACTAATGTTGGTGCACAGGCCTGTCGAGACAGTGGTGTTTGAAAGTTGATCTGCTTCCAAACACAAAGCCAGTCATGGATTTCAATGCTGAGGAAGTGGTGATATTTTATTGTGTGCGCTCCAGCCAAATCCTACACTCTCCACCGATGGTCACTTTACAAATACATATAACAATACAGGAATGTCAGACCCTTAAATAACTCCTCAAAATGACAGACTGCCTAGACTGACCAACCAAATACGTGACAAGAAAGTAAATAGAGCCTCCAAAGTTGCCATCTGAATACCTTCCCGACTGCTATCGTTCCCGTGCAGGCAACCTAAGACTGTAGAGCATGGCTTCGATCTAAAGATCAGCCCCTTTTAAAACTTCCATGGTCGAGTGACAGACAGTCATAGCAAATCCTCAGATTAAAAAGCGGTCTCCTGGCCTTGTTACTGCTGTACGACTGCACTTGCCTCTCAATAGCAGTTTTCCCACAATGCCTGTTCAAACCAATGGCGCAACAAGACGTACCTGGAACATGTGACCGAACTAGAAGAGTTGTATCTAGAAAAGCCAGGAAAGGTGGCTCTGAGAGGCGCTAGAAGAAGTCGGGTGAACAGCATTCCTTTGAGCTGACTGTATTATTAAATCTGCAGTTGAGACAAGCTCAGATCTGAAGCAGTGACAGCAGTAAAAATGCTAGTAATCCAGGAAATGCATTATCACCGTCTCTTGACTTTCTATAGCTTAACTAAACCAAAGGGTTAACTATCCTAGAATTGTCCTTGCTGGAAAACATTACATGGCCAAACAGTGTGAGGGGTTTTAAAAGAACGGCAATCTTCATGTAAGAGAAAAAGAAAAGATGGCATTTCATCAGCTACAAACAAACTCAGAGTTCAGCAGCTACAAAATTACACCTAGCTTCCACAAAATACTGGCAGAACTCCTTAAAACAAAGTAACGTTTCACGTATTAGCGTAACATTATTAAGCAATACACAGAAATTGTCACACTGGAACAAAACCTTGATCTCTCTCACCTGAGCACATGACTGAGAGCCAGGAACTCTGAAATGTTAATGCCAGACTCCTTTTGTGGCTGTGCACAAATCATTTAACCTCTCAGTTTCCTCTACGGTGACCAGGCTGCTCTACCTCACAGGGATGTTGGAAGGATTCATAAGTAATATAGATAAGCTGCTTTTAGGCCAGAAAGCATGCAGTATCTTCCTCCTGCCTATGGCCTACACCTGATGGTTCAGAAGAAAGTGAAAGTCCTCCAAAATGTACCTGGCCAATTGTGCAATGCTGTAACATGGACAGGAATTATTTTTCCACCCAACACCAGCTAGCAATCAGTTAATGCCCTGAAGCACAAGATTATGCACTGTAATTTTTTAACTGAGTTAGTGGAACTGCAAACATGTCAGCCATTTGAAAAAAACCTGAAGGAAAATAAAATGTGCTCAACATGACATTCCTGAATCCTTTAATTACTTCCAGTCCACTCAGTCACGTAAAACAAATGGACTTCGGCTGAGGTATAAGCTTCAACAGCTTATTACTACTGAACAATTTTTAAAAAGTTTCAGTCAGATCAAATATAGGTGCAAACTTCTCTCTTGCTTGGATGTAGGTCTTCCACAAGGTGTACGGCTCTCACCCCTCGCTTTATGTACTTGTTTTTTTTTCCCCCCTATTAAAAGATTATCAGGGAAGGGGTTGAGTTTGGAATCAACATTCAAGTTTATAAGATCCTCTGCACAACACTTTTTTTTTTAAAGTACAAATCTGAGCACTTTTCACATTAAGATTCAAGTTTTCTCAAATGAGATGCATGTTTTTAATGTGTCTTTAGGGCTTGTGAAAGGTGCCCTGTTGAGAACCCTAAAGATAAAACCCTCTAGTTATTCACAGTACTAATAGAACAGGGACAGCGGCATTGCAAGCTTACAGGTGCACCCCGAGCATTCCTGTGGGTGAGCCCCTCAGCTAAGATTGACAATAGAGGGTAGTGATTTTAATATCTGACTATTAAGAAATGGACTAAAGTGATCCACTCACAGATCACTGAGCAACCTGACCACAGGTCACTATCAACCTGCAATGGATTTGCATTAGAGACCTATAGGCAAATGGCTCCATTTCCCCCTTACCCAGTGCTTCATTTGGGCCAGGGCTGAGCCCTGGCCCATCTATGTTTGGCAGTTCATAGCCCCAGCACCTCTGGGCTTGCCGTGTCAGTTATGAAAGTAAAAAAAAAAAAAATTATTTGAGCCTCGGCACCTAATTGCTTGAGCCCCAGAACCTCTTTCATTACAAATTAAGCACTGCCATTATCCACTCCCTTCAGCCTCCCCGTCTCCCTAATTTAATGTTACAGGATGACCAGATGATAGATAACCAACTAAGCATGTTCAATCAAAGACTCTAATGTTATTTATTTATTTATTTGGAGGGGATTATTCTGCATATTATTTGTAATTCTCCTAATTATTTTTTGAGATTAATGCCCCTTCTTGAATATTTTCTGACATCTCTTAAAAATGATCAAGCTTTAGTTGCTACAATAACGTTAGGATTGTTTGTTAATAGTGAGAGACTAAGATCCAGAAACATTGGCACCAATGGAATACAATTTGCATGGTTATGTTATATACAACATATCTGAAGGGAGTTTAGTGGCCTCAGGACAATTCCCTTTGGAAAAACAACCCCATCAACCATTACCACAACTGGCACTAAGTGGTGATTTCAACAGATAGGTCAGGGATTGAATAATACTTTCATCCCTAGAAGTTTCCCCTCCAAATCAGGAGACAGCAGCACACTGATGGAGCAGTGCATGGGGGTGCTTGTACAACTACTGCTGCTAGCACAGCACCTAGTCTGTGGATATAAGTCAATCTTAGAATTGCCAGTCAGGCACTTTTTCCATGAGCATGAAACTCAGGACACACAATGTAGCAAATACAGGGCTGGATTCTGAGAAGGGTACAGCGTCCGTGACCGGAAGGAACTTCTAAAAGACACTGCAGTTGCTTAGCACCTCTAGGAATCAACCCGATGATGAGCCTCTAGAAAAGATTTTAAAACTTTACCTAATGTAGGACTAAGCCCCAAGAGTCTAAAACTCAGGCAAAGTCCCATTAGAACATCAGTGGGAGTCTGCCCGAGTAAGGACATCAGGATTTCTCGAAAAATAAACATCCATTTTGTCTGAATACCTTATTCAAAGACAAAATTAAAGCCAAGTTTCTAGGCATTCAGTACTTGTGTTGTAGGTTCATCACATTACATGGCTCCCAACTTTGTGTAGTGTAAACACATGAGCAGGTTCTGGAAAGATCAGAAATGTAACCCCCTTCAAAATACAATTACCAAAAACAAAATGTGAGTCTGTGATCATGGGAAATCTTTGCACTGTAGCTTAAACCACATTAATGGGAAGATGTATAAAGCAAAATTTTCAAGTGGCCTTCTCCTGCCACACCAGAATACACTCTTCTTTCTCACAGAACTGCAGTCTGCACATTATTCCAGCATACTGAAACAATTTGGGGCTGGATACTTGATATAATGATGTCAAATTCATCATAAGACTATTGATAAGAGATTTGAAAAAAAGGGAAGTAAAGATGAAATCTATATTTACAATATCACAGCATCATAAAAAGGAGTGAATCCTGAAAGTATAACTCTCTGCTTGGTGGTTTTACAATCGCAATTATGCTAGCAGAGAGAGCACAATAACCACTATTTGTATTACACCAGCAAGTGAAATCAGGGCCCCATTGTGCTAGGCTCTTACTAGGTATTTGTACAGAGAACTTTCTAGACAGACAAAGGTTGAGAGGGACAGTGACTTGCCCAAGATCACACAGCAGGTCAATGGCAGGGTTGGAAACAGACCTGAAGTCTCTCAAATACTAGGGGAAAGGGCTCTGCTCTCCTAGTGTAACATCGTTCTTCTCTCTCCTCTTGTACCTTCCACCTCAGCTCCTCAAACGCTGCAACACTTATTAATTATGCCTCGCATCACCCCTGTGAGGCGGCATCCCTCTTAGGGACAGGGACAGGTTCAAACAACCTGCTGAAGGTCACAGAGCAAGTCAGTGTGGGAGCTGGGAGGGCAGCAGCCCCCTTCCGCTAACTGCTGCAGCAGGCTGGCTGCGGAGCTCTGGCAGTCCTGACACCCCCTCCCCCCCCGCACAGAGCCTGGAATGGAGCCCCCGGAGCACTAAACTCCCAGCCCCCAGGCAGCACCAGGGAGAGCCGCTGTCCCTTTAAATCCCTGACCCCGGCAGCCAGCGGCTCCGTGCCGGGGGCGCGTGGAACGTCGGGGTCGCTACATTGTCTCAAGCCCGGGCCCTCGGGCTGGGAGCTACCACGTGTGCGCGCAGGGGGGGAAAGAGGGGTCGTTCTTTCTCCCTCCCCGCTGTCCTGCGCGCTCCACGTCGGACTCCGCCTCCCCCGGCGAATCCCAGCTCCCGACTCTTTCCTTCCCAGGCCCGGAA